CCCTCCGCCTACGGCCCCCCTACCCCAATTTACCTGGAGCGTCAAAAATATTTATCAAACCATAACTACTTTTTTATACAAAAATAAACATGATAGTTCGAAGTGAGTTTTTTCTATCCACCAAGTAGAAAACAAACAACAAAGCAACAAAAGTTAGGTCGGAATGAATCGGAAAAAAGAAACGTACAGTGAAGACTCAAAAATAAAACCAAGAAATTATAAGGGAAAGAAGAAAGATGTAATTGGAAGACACTTTACATATTGCAATATTGTGGAGGATTAAGCCCTAAAGTGACTCATTACTCAATTAGGTACCTAATTATGTCTGTTCTGATGCATAAAACGATTCTATTAGCATAATTCATACGTTAAGAATTACATAAGTCTCAAATTTTCCTTTTCTCTTTTTCTTTTCTCCTTTGGAGACCAGCAGAAGACGCAATGAATCTTATTCCAAAACTTCAGGGAGGATTGTCTGGTCGGTCACTTGCTGACACCATTACACAAACACATTCTTTCATCCATTTCATATATATGTATATATATATATATATATATATATATATATATATGTTAATATGTATATATATATGTATATATATATGTATGTATATATACATACATATATGCAGATGTATATATAAACACATGCATGTGTATATATGTATATATATATATATATATATATATATATATATATATATATACATTTATGTGTGTGTGTGTGTGTTTAGATATATATATTAGTAGCGTGCAGAGGGGTGACGGGCATCCAAATGGCCGGCATCCAATCAGAGAGAGAAATAACATAGTGATTTTGAAATTTATAATTAAATCGAGTAAAGTGTTTACATATTCAAGATATCTCCCTTTTCATAAAAATTCTGAGTACTAGGCCTTTTACCTCAGTCTTTGGGGCATACAATCATGAAGTTGGTGTGAGCCACTGATGTGTATGTATATATGTGTATATATCTACATATATATGTATATGTTTGTATATATATATACATATATGTATGTGTGCGTGTATGCATGTATGCATGTATATATACATATATTTATATATAGATGTGTGTGTGTGTGTTTGTGTGTATGAGTGTGTGTATATATATATGTATGTATATTTATGTGTGTGTGTGCACAAACACACACGCGCATATATGTATATATATATATATATATATATATATATATATATATATTTACACATATTTGTAATATAAATGCATATATGCATATATGTATATATATGCATGCATACATACATACATACATATACATGGTGTCTGTGTTTGTGAGTCTGTGTGTGTGTATGTGTGTGTATACGAATAAATACAAACACATGTAAAAAGAAAACACACCCACAAAAGAAAGAAATAGAACGACGATTCTAGTTCTCATCAGACTCAATAAAAAGTGAACTGGAATTTCTTTTTATTTGAAAAATCATTATCTATTGTGACAATTTCATCTATATCATTATCTTTACTATTATTATTATTATCATTATTATCATCATCATCATCATTAGTAGTAGTAGTAGCAGTAATAGTATCATTGTAACTATATCATTACTATGTGTTTTAATGTATGCATGTGTGTTTGTGCATACATGAGCATTTGCATGTATAAATTCACAGATAGTTTCATATATTAAGTATTTATCCATTGATTTGACTCTTTTTCATCTAAAGTAGATAAATACCCTCATATCCTGACATTTCCCATATTATAAATATGGGAAATGTCATATTATAAATACAGCTATATCAAACAATGTTACTTCCAAATAAATTCCCAGATTTATACCTTCAACCCAAATACAATAAACTGGCAATACCAAAAATCGTTTTTAGAAAGGACATTCATACTACAATCAACGATTTTTAATAAGGTATTTCAAGGCTCGAAAATTACCCCCGTGGTGAAAGGGCCGACGTCAGAACCCACGCACGAACGCACACACAGTATATATAAGAGGAAGTGTCAACCGCTAACCATCATACGCTCACCAACCATGTCTCTCAAGGTACGAAATGCTCCTGTATAACGAAGAGAAGTGTCTAAGTCACAATGCTGTTTTTTATAGCATTGAATCTGAAAGTGGTGCGGGGATCTTTTATATTTTTAACTGAGAGAGTAATGAAAAGAAAGTCACGATAAGACATGTAAATAAAGTGTTCCGAATTCGTCAAGATATCCCCATCAAGCGGATAAATAATCGAAATGGATTTAGTTATTAATCCACCTGAGGAGGAACTCTTGATGCGTACGAAACGTTATGATTTATTTTTATTTCTTATTGTGGTTATTCTCCTTTTCATCTTTGTCTACACGTTACCGTGTTTGTTTGTGTTTGTGTTCAGCGAAATTGTTTATATTCATTTTACACTCACACACACAATATGCGTGTGCGTGTTTGTGTGTGTACATATATACAATTGTCTTTCTTCCCTCTCTTCTTAGTGGTTGTAAATAACGCGCAATTGTGCCCACAGGTCGTCGTCCTCGCCTGCGTGGCTGTCGTTGCTCTCTGCGACAAGGCCCCAGTCTACGCCCCTCCTCCTCCCGCCTATACCCCTGCACCTTACCACGCACCCGAACCCGCCTACCACGCCCCTGCACACTACGAGCCCGAATACCCTGATGTAAGTATCTGTGCAATTTTAAGGCTCTATAACAACCATTAAGAGAAAATATTTTTTTACAAATTTTCTTTTGTTCAGGTGCCCCGAAGTACAACTACAAATACTGCATTCCATGGAAATACCACAAATACTGAGAAACCTTTTTCGTTCACTCTCTCCAGGTCCCACCCAAGTACAACTACAATTACGGCGTCGCCGACGGCTACTCTGGCGCCAACTTCGCCGCTTCGGAGTCCCGCGAAGGCTACAAGACCGAGGGCGGCTACACCGTCGACCTCCCCGACGGCCGCAAGCAGATCGTCAAGTACGTGGACAACGGCGACGGTTATGTAGCTGAGGTCACTTACGAGGGCGAGGCTCAGTACCCCGAGTACAAGCCCACCTACAAGCCTGCTCCCCCCGCCTACGGCCCCCCTCCCCCCACCTATGCCTAAGATGTCCTAGAGTGTCAAACGACAGATATTCATTAAATCATATTTATTGTTATACAATAAAGATCTTTGATATAAAAAATCCGATTTTTTTTCTATTTCTGCATCCAACGAAAATAAAACTCGCAGGTTAATCTCAGAGAGCTTGAATTCAAGAAGGAAATAGATCTATATCAGTCACATTTACACACAACAAACAGATTCTATCATCCTGTATCATCCCTTATATAAAACGAAATAGATTTTATGACCTCGATTACTCTGATTAAGATCAAAACCTTAAAGACTGTCAGAGGATAATATAAACACCACAACCAACTCTTAAAAACCATACTGGATTAGATTTTTAGCCATGCTATCATACAGACGACATAGTTCCAGTCATATATCATATATATCATCCACTTTTCGCATGATCGTGTACGGGAGATCGTTAAGCATATTCATGTGATAATTCTCTCTCTTTTTCTAATAATAATAATTATAATAATTAATTAATAGATTAATAAACAAAATAAATGGAAAATAAAAAATGTACATCATTAGATAAGGCCACAAATGAAATGAGAACACTGCTTCTTATGCAGATATCTTCAAGTATTACTGAATCATTTCAACACAAACTAAGGTCAGTCAGTGCCTTTTTTTCTTCCAAAATATTAACCAAAATAATTGCCTTTTTTACTTCTTATATCTATAGGTTATTGATTTGGTATTTTTACCTACTCTTCGGGGACTTTGTGAATCGCCACAATGCTCGTTTATGATACATTTTCTGTATTAGGAATAGTTCCGATATTCATAGTAGTCATGAATATATCTAATCATATATGTCATATAGACATATACTTGTAAAAACACATTAATGAATGATAATTGTGTATGCATATATTTGTTCCTGTATGTGTGTAGGCTTAATAATATGTTCCCCTGTGTGTATCTGTGTGTGTATGAACATTTACAGTTTGTGTGGTTGCATATGTATATATACAATATATATCTCTATCTATTTATCTGTCTATACATGTATACACACACTTATATATACATATACAAATCTATATCTATATCTATCTATCTATAAATATATACATGTATAAATGTGTATATACATACATATATACATATACACATGTGTGTGTGTGAAAGTGTGTGTAAAATTGTGCATATATTCATTTATATTTATTTATACATATATATTCACGTATGTGTGTGTGTGTTTATCTTTCCATCTATTTGTCTATCTCTCTCTCTCTATATATATAGAGAGAAAAATGTTTGTGTGTATATGGGTATGGGTGTGGGTGGGTGTGTAAATATATATAGGTATGTATGTTTGTGTGTAAATATATATGTGTGTATCTGTGTATGCGTGTATACACGCATATATGAGTTCGTGTGTGTGTGTGTGTGTGTGTGTAGATAGAGAGATAGGTAGAGAGAATGAGAGAGTGAGGGATGTATGAATGTATATATGTGTGTGTGTGTGTGTGTATGCATGTGTATGTGTGTGCATATGTGTGTATATGTATATATGATATAATATATATATATATATATATATATATATATATATATATATACGTGTGTCTCTGAGTACGTGTGATTGTGCGAGTGTGTGTGTGTGTATGTGTCAATGTGCATGTGTCTGTGCATATGTGTGTGTGTGTGTAACTTTGGGTGTGTGTGAGAAAAGTTCAGCCTAAAACCGCACCGCATGTGTTACTTGCGATATCAAAATCGTATTCAGAAACGATACCTATTACTCTATTAGCTAATATTAATGTATTTCAAGGGCTCGACAATTATCCCCTGAGGCTATGATAGAAAGGCCTGTGGCAGAGGCAACACACAAACGCACACACACCATATATATAAGGGGATGTCTTAACCGCTAACCATCATACGCTCACCAACC